AATTGTGTTGCATATGAAGGGTGAGCCCTACCATCCCTATCACTTCAACTGCAAGAACTGTGGCGTAGAGTTGAATTCAGACGCGCGAACCATTAAAGAAGAGCTGTATTGCCTTCGATGTCACGACAAAATGGGAATTCCTATCTGTGGTGCCTGTCATCGACCCATCGAAGAGCGTATAGTGACAGCACTGGGCAAGAACTGGCACGTCGAGCACTTTGTCTGCGCCAAATGGTAACCACTGTTTACACATTGAATTTGATTTATTAATTATTTGTTGTATAAATGAAGCGAAAAGCCATTTCTGGGACACAGACACTACGAGAAGAAGGGTTTGGCTTATTGTGAAACACATTATCACCAATTATTTGGAAACCTGTGCTTTGTATGCAATCAAGTAATTCAGGTATAAATGGTTTTTCAAGAAGAATATTTGAAGAATTGCATTGAAATTGTGTATACTTTATGGTAACTTTGATATACAGGGAGATGTATTCACAGCGTTGAACAAGGCGTGGTGTGTGGAGCACTTCCAATGTTCGTGGTGTGACACTAAGCTTAATCAGAAGTCCAAGTTCTATGATGTTGATCTTAAGCCATGTTGCAAAAACTGTTACGCAAAGGTATTACACTTCTGTCTTACAGTTTGCTTTAATATTAGTATTGATTATGAATTGATTCTCAAAATACAGTTTCCAACCGAACTCAAGAAACGCCTGAAAAAACAATACACTGAGAGAACAATTACCACAAAGAGTATCCTTTAAAAGAAGATCTACTTATTTGTTGTTTATTAACTCTATAATCGATTTTTTAATACAATTTTATTTTATTTTATTCTTAACAATAATATATTGAATCGGTTATAAAGTTGTATTGAAGTCAATTGCTCTGCCAATTGATTGAATGTAATGGCAGTAATAATTGCTAAAAGTGAATATTTTTAGCAAACAAACTCTAGTTAACTTTAAGCACTACTGACTTTAATTTAATTTAATTAATTCCAAGACATTATACATTGAACTGTAGTTTAGAAATTTAAGCCATTTATGAATGTATACATTTCTATAGATATGCTTTATATTGAATACCCGATCCATATGTTAACTAACAAAGCAATGAATTTTTACTAATATTTTATTTAATTAATTTATGTATTTTTAATTATTACAATTTTGAGATAATTTTGTTTTTGCTTCAGTAAAACAAAATACAATTGACTGCCTTTCGAGTGCCTAATAGTCTTTATATTGTGCCTAACATTTATATTCATTATTCTTTAAAATCATTATATAATTAGTTTATTGAATGTATTGTTTAATAATATATATTTTTAATAAAATTGAATTATAATCAAACTTAACTAAATTATTTTTACAATATAATACAGTATA